GCCACAACGCCTGGCCATTTTTTGGTTGCAGCCATCATTGTTGTTTGGCAGCCCGGGCTGGGGATTCGAACCCGCCACCTTAGATGTATGTGGCTGGCGCCTTAGCCGCTTGAGCCACAGGTGCCGAGCCAACCAACCAATTTCTTTACCGGGCTTCCTTATTCATCCTATAAAAGCCTTCCCTTCAAACTCTTCTATAGCAGCCCCGACCCCTTTTAGTTTGGTGGTGCCTGATTCACAAATCACCATTTGCCCAAATAAATTTTCTAAAATTTAATGTGCCTTATCTTTTAATTCTTAGTAATAAAGATATTTATCAGAAAACTTGCTATAGATCCTTAAAGCTTGTTACCAAAGAGGCATTTGGTCCGTATTCTAGCACAGGCAACTTAAGTGGAAAAAGTGCATGGCAAACCAGTGTTAGCACTTCTAAGTTCAGCTACTTGGCTTTCTAAGAAATACAAAACTGCTTCCCAGAATAGGATGCCATTTTGAACAGAATGGTGGCTGGTTTTCAATGGTGTTCAAGACATCATAAAGACCCCAGAGGGTAAAGTAGACAGATTCCAATTTGCCCCATTCTCTTGCACTCCATTTTCGGACGCCTCTTCTCCAATTCTTTATCCTTGATAGTAATAGCAGCAGCTGCATTTCCTGAATATTCGGGAGAGACTCCGCCCCAGACCAACACTTCTTAGACTTCCAATTCTCAAGACCACTCTCTGAGATAAGTCCTAACACTACTCTTGGCTTATAGGTAAGGTGACCAGATGCCCCGCTTTTGGCGGGACAGTCCTGATTTTTAACAATTTGTCCTGCGTCCTGTAGCGTTTTAAAAAAGCCCTGATTTTTGGAAAGAATGCACGACAAGCTAAGGAACACGGGAGAACAGGAAGGGAATATACGGTTTTCGGCTGCAACAACGTGGCTATTTCGCCAGGATATGCATTTTATATTATTTTTGTTAATTTTATAATGTTAAACTTTAATGATGACAAATAATTGTTGAGAACTGATTATCAAAGTCTGCATTGTTGTCAGGCCCCGCCCACCCCCAGCCCTGCCCCCCCAGTGGTGTCCCGCTTTACCAATGTTAAAATCTGGTCACCTTATATAGATGAAAAGAGAAACCGAGGAAATGACTTCCCAAAGTCACACAGCGGGAAAACTGGGGTTCAAACCCAGGTTTTACTGCAAAGCCTGTGCCCTTCAGCCCTGGGTCATACTCGGTGGCCAAGAGTACAGTCACCAGCAGTTGTACTTAGGATGTGTGGCGCTGAGCTAGCAGTTTCCCATCATTAGAGAAGACGAAAAAAATAAGGATTTGCCTTCAGTATTCAAATATGTACATGAGGTAAATAACAGGCCATAAAAAGTCCAGCTCAGATACGACTTGTTAATATTAGGAATGCCTACTTCATGCTAACTTCTCTTAAGGGCTACATCGTTTGATTTTCAAGTGAAGCTTCCAGGGGCGTCCAACCTGTGGCCCATGGACCATGTGGATGGACTTTTTTGCTTATCTGTAGTGGCGACTATCGTGGGAATTATGCATGGACACCTTGTTTTTTTCTCACCAGCTTTAGTTAGTGTTTGTGTATTTTTTTTTTTTTTTTTTTTTTAAGAGAGACAGCGTCTCATGCCCTCGGTAGAGTGCAGTGGAGTCACAGCTCACAGCAACCTCCAACTCCAGGGCTTCAGTGATTCTTTTGCCTCTGCCTCCCAAGTAGCTGGGACCACAGGTGCCTGCCACAACGCCTGGCTATTTTTTGGTTGTAGCCGTCATTGTTGTTTGGCGAGCCAGGGCTGGATTCGAACCCGCCACCTTAGGTGTACGTGGCTGGCGCCTTAGCCACTTGAGCCACAGGTGCTGAGCCTGATATTATTTTTTACATAAAAGAAAATTGAAGTGGGATTCACATTACATAAAATCAACCATTTTCAACTGAGCAATTCACTGGCACTTTGCACAATCACAGTGTTATGTAACCACCACCTCTACCTAGTCCAAAACATCTCCTTCTCTCCAAAAAGAGACTCCATTGCCCTTACCTCATCCCCAAGGAACCACCAATTTGCATTCTCCTGTATGGACTTGGAATAGTGTTTCATACACGTGTGGAATCAGACGGTATGTGGCCGTTTGCATCCAGCTTCTCTCTGTGGCGTGTTTTGAGGTTCATCCGTGTTGTAGCAGGTACTTCCTTTCTTTTTATGGCTCAGAAAGTTTCCATTGCACGCATACTTCAGTAAATTCACTTTACTTTAGAGATGAGGACGTTGATGTTAGGATCACACAGCTCAAAAGTGGGTGAGCTGGGATGCAAACCTGGGTCTGATCCCAAACCAAGGAGCTCTTAGCCATCCTGCCCTACTCAAGGCCAAGGAATTGCTGAAACCCAGTACCCAAAACAGAATCTCACAGACAGTTTCAAACCCCCAAACACTGGACTGCCCACTCTGCCCTGAGGAAATGGAGCCTTACAAGGGGGAGTCTGCTGTCTCAGACTCCCTCTATCCACACCACTGCTCCCCAGGGCCCCCTTGTCTCCCAGGGGTGCCCCTGACCCAGGCCCCAGGCCCCTCAGGAAGCAGGACAGAGGTGAGTTCACTCCAACAGCAAGGCAGCCCCTCTGGCCCACAGGCCTTCAACAAATCTCGTCACCTCATTCCGTTTTCTGCACATGCTGTCTGCCATGTGTCATCAGATGGGCCTACTCTACAAAAGCACGTTTCAGTCCTCAACTCAGACCCAGCGCTGAACATATACAGACACGGCCTTCTCAGCTTTTGCCAGTTTGGCAGTTGTCAGCTCCTCCTTGCAGGAAGGAAGGGGACACCCCACCCCATTAATGTGTCTGCTGCCTTGGTGTTCTTTATCTGCATGACCACACGATATGGTCAACACTGTTACCCCAATTTTGGAAAGAAGAGCAAATAAATTGCCCAAGATTACACAACCAATGTGAGGCAGAGCTGAGGTCTGCATGGCTTCTTCTAGAAGGTTCATTCCACTATCTAGCCCTCACTAGAAATCTTTGAGGAAATGAATTAAAAGCCAAGCACCAAGCTGGGCATCGTGGGTCACACCTGTAATTCCAGTGACTTGGAAGGCTGAGGCGGGAGGATCGCTTAAGGCCAGGACTGGGCAACAACAAAGTGAGACCCCCTCTCTAAAGAAAAAAGAAAAATATTACCCAAGCATGGTTGCGCCTGCAGTCCCAGCTAAGGAGGCTGAGGCAGGAGGATTGCTTAAGCCTAGGATTCAAGGCTGCAGTGAGCTAGGATTGTACCGCTGCCCTTTACCCTGGGTGGCAGAGCAAGACCCCCCAAACCAAGCACCACACATTGCACTGAGGTTCTTAACCTTGGATCCATGGATGGTCTTTGTGGAGCCTGTGACTCTTCTGATGCTATTTGCAAAATCATACGCAGTTCCCTGTGAGGGGGCCCTCAGATTGCCCCAAGTGGCAGTGGAGGTGCAGCTGTGCAGTAGCACATTAACCTCTGACATCCCGGGACCTTCTAGCACAGGGTCATCTCAGCTGTGCTGACTGCTGGGATG